ATCCATCATCGTCATCCACGGCCAAGGATCTAGACATGCCGTTTGAGGCAGGCTACGGCAGTGCGCATGCTGCGGGGAAGGTGTATACGGATACGATTGCGATGGCAGGCATCGAGGCGAAGGACGTCTGGATCAGCGTGTCGGATGACCCGTTCCTGACGATGAACAGGGACGCTGGGCTGATTGGTCTTTCATGGCCGGTGCTGAGTTCGTTGTATTCGCGCGAGACGACGTTCTACGAGGCGTTCAAGCAGCAGAAGCGTCTTAGACGGAATGTGTACCAGTTTACGCTCAAGTCACATGCTACGTCGCATCTTGACGTGGGCCATGTCAACAGGATGAGATTCCTGGGCCTTGTGGGCTGGGTGAGCGTGAATCCCGATGATGGATACTGGAAGACGGATGTGAACATCAATGGAGACGACTACACGGGGATTATCGACACGGGGACGACGTTGATTGTAGCGAGCAACGAGAAGATGAAGAGCCTGCTGAGCAAGCTTGATGGAGTGACGCTAAAACAAGACGATGAAGGGAACTACCAGGGCTGGTACGACTGCAAGAAGCCGCCAAAGATCAGCTTCCACGTTGGAGGCAAGCGTTTCACGATGCCTCGAAAGACGATTAAGTACTGGCAAAATGGGAATGAATGCCGGCTTCCGTTTACTGGACTAGATGGGTTTTCGGATTGGATCTTTGGGACGCCGTTTTTGGAGATGGCTTCCGTCGTGTTTGACTTTGACAATGCACGACTTGGATTTGCGTCGCAGTCATGGCTGCCGTGATGAGTGATTGAGTTGTGCTGTCATGTACAAGATGAACATGCTTGCGGAGGACTAGCGGGTTCTCATTTTTTCTACGGCTTTTTGTGTAAATTTTCCTCGCTTGTTTTCAGTGCTACACTTGCGATGAAATGGCACTAGTTTGTATAGTAATGACTCTGCATAGGTTTTCATGAGATGGATTGTATGGCACTCGAGGAGTTGATTCAGGGTTGTACTTGTGCTCGCATGCTCACATGTACGTGCACTTTTTTCTGACCTTTTTTTATCTATCGTGACATGACTCTGAATGTCTCGTCTTTTTCGAACGAATTTTTTCATTGATTTTGTTTTTTTTTTTTGTCAGTCAGTCTGTCTGTCCCACACGCACGCTCTCTCACACTCACTTACACACACACACTCTCTCTCTTCCTCCTCTTTGCTGACTCTCTGCACCTTTGGTTCTGTCCGATATACACCTTTCCACATTTTCGAGTCCTGTCCACCACTTACCTCCTTGTACCAATCCGACTAGTCCATGTCCTTTTCCCTCGCATCTATCCAACTCTTCCGATCTCTACTATCACTGTCTTGAGTTCTGCAGACTCATGCCCGACCATATGATAGTGTATTGACCGCGACAGCTGCATGTTTGGTGGCAATCGAATCATCCGCGATGGCATCGATTCCTCTCTTGTTTGCTTTTACGCCATGTTTCTCAGTGTCAACTGTTTATGTACTATGTTTGGCGCCAACTTGCATTGTCTTGTCAGCCTCTCTTGCACCTACGTCTGTTTTGAGCACGTCTATTCACTGGTCGCACTCGCTCCCTTTCATGTTGAATTTTCTTTTGCTGAGCTCTCTATATATCCCTATCAAATGAGAGACACACTATGGTCTGTCTCTTACCCTCCTTTTGTCACGTCTCCTACCCCACACAAGTCCATGTTTCCCATTCGCTTTTCTGTCGAATTTCTTTTTCTTCTTTTTTGTCCGTTCTTCCCTGGCTTTTTTTTTGCCTCTTGTTGTTTTGCTTGCTACTCTTTGCTTCTCATTTTATTGCTGTTTCATCTCGGTTCTCCATGTCAGAAAGCGCTTTCTTTTTTTTCCCCTTTCTCAGATGACTGACGTCTTTTCCTGCGTTACAGCGCCTCTTTGTCTTCTTCTTTAGCCCTTATGTGACGCTCGTCCTTGACGCATGGTTGTCCTCCTCTGCTCCGCTTTCACTGTCTGCCTAGTTGGACTGTGCCTTAGCGGACCCCTTCGACATCCCCACTTTCTCCCTTATGCATGTTCGTGCACGTGCCCTGGCCCTGCCCTGCACTGGTGAACGAATTTGATTTTATCCATTTGTTTTCCATCTGTGGAGACGCGCTGAATGAAACGCGACGACACGCGTCGAGCCGCCGGACTTCCTTGGCACATGTAGTAGCTTTTTCTTGGCAGGTGCAATGCGAAAGAACTCCGGCAAACGAGTCCCCTCCATGCGGTGAACAAACACAAGCCTTAAATATGGAACGTGTCTGCGTACACGCATCCATACATCAAAAGGAAATGAAAGTGTTTTCTATGGCGGCACTATCCACGCTTTCCATCGCCTCTGTATGGGCAGGCATGGATTGCGAAAAGACGTCCGGGCCTATGTCGCTCCAATATACCGAAATCGGATGGGGATCCAAGTACTCAAACCACACAGGGCTCGCAAAGAAGGGTTCTGATTCTCATGCTTTCCTACGAATCCAAGATGGAGCGTCTCGTGAACAGTTCGAGTTCTTTGAATGCAAATCGCCGCCCGAAGGCTTTGAGACGTCGCCCGCTGATGCCAAATACGGCCAAATCCGCAGTGCGAAGGATCACAGTCTGTGCTTGACTGTGCAGGGAATCGACAACCGCCCAGTGTATGATTACAACCACAAGGCAAAAGGAACCAAGCGAGAATACGACCGCAAGAATGGGTATCTGACGCTTGAAGCATGCTCATCGCACCCGAGACGGCAATGGTGGAGTGACAGCATCAGTTATGTGGGGATGAAGAAGGACCAAAAGCGGAACCACTGCTCCGTGGATGACGACGGAAAACTCTTCATGTACCGCAACCATGCACCTAGCATGATGCCACACGGCGGTGACAGCTTAGGTGGATTCCTTACGTGGGAATCTAAGGAAGAGTAGTTGACGATAGTAAATATGATGAATGTGCAGATCCCTTCCCCGGATATTGAGACAGGATTTCATGTGGCCGGTGTAGAGACGAGAAAAAAGCAGCACAGCATGCATTCGTCGGTTGGTGCGTAGCCGTTGTTGTATCTAGCATGCTCATTGGACCTAAGCAATGGAGTTGCTTGAGTTCCTGCTTGATCAGGTCAAAGATACGTTGCGTGTGCCCCAGTCTCCACGCAGGTACCATGCACAAAGCGGGTCCAGTGTGGTCGCCATGTCCTACCTTTTACTCTAATTTTTATGGCTCCCATACTCCATCTTTCCTTCTGTCTGCATCATATTCACCCATTTCACTCTATCAGGTACACTTGGTCGTGTCTCGAGTTTGATCAATTTCCACATTCGTCCCATTCTTGTCGCTGTCCTTATTGATCACAGGTGGGGTATGTGACACCCAATCGAGTAAGTAAAAATTGGCCAGATTTGCACTCGACTCAGCGTGTGCCAAAACTGCCACCTCTCCATGTACTTTCCACCTGGCTTACATTCAAGATCGGGGCCACTTAGCGTGCACTTAACTGCATCGGAAAAAAAAAAACATTGTCTATGTCAGAAGCCGATGTGACCATAGAGCCTTAGCCTAACTAGTTCCCCATATCCATATCTACTTGACCAAACGAAGGCGCGAGGGGTTGAGCTCCTCTTTCTCGATCGAAGCCACACCACAGAGCCGCATCGAGAGCTCCAAGTCAGCAAGGAGACAGCGGAGCACATGGAGCGCACCCTTCTGGCCACCCATGGCCAGTCCATACACACATGGGCGTCCGACAAGCACCATCTTGGCACCCAAGGCAAGCGCCTTGGCAATGTCCGTACCCGAACGGATGCCAGAGTCAAACAGGACGTCCAGCTTGTCGCCGACGGCATCGACAATCTCTGGGAGCACTTCAATCGAAGAGACCGAGTCGTTCACCTGGCGACCACCATGCGACGAGACGACAATACCATCCATGCCGTGCTTGACAGCAAGCTTGGCATCTTCCACGTCCATGATACCCTTGAGCACAATGGGTCCATCCCAGTACTCGCGCAGGTACTTGAGGTCATCCCAAGAGTGACCAGCACCACAGAACATCTTGGAGGCCCATTCAGGGGCGGACGTCGCGAGGTCCTCCATCACGGTCTTGCCGTGCTTTTGCTTGAACTGCTCCTGGAAGACTGGGTCGCTCAGACCGAGACCACATCCGGTTATTTCTGGGAGCAGGAATGGGTTGAAGCCGTGGTTCAAGTCTGTTGGGCGGTAACCCAGAGTGTACGTGTCAAGCGTCACCACAAGCGCGGTGAAGCCCGCCTGCTTTGCTCGGCGCAGGATGCTAGCTGTGACGTCGTTGCACTCATTTGGTGGCCAGTAGAGCTGGAAGAAACGGTGGCCATCGCCGTTCGCCTTGGCCACATCTTCCAAGCTCGTCGAGCTTGCCGAGCTCATGATGTACGTGACGCCGGCCTCCTTCGCGGCTGCGGACATGCCGCACTCACCCTCGCGATGGAAGATGGTGTTCACACCAATTGGCGCGACAGCGATAGGGGAGGGCACGTTCTGTCCGAGGACCTTGTACTTCGGCACAACGTCACACTGGGCCACTGGGACAAGGCGACGCGGCACAAAGTGCCACTTCTTAAAGTCCTGGCACTCCTGGTTGTCCGTGTAACCGTCACCAGCGGAACCCTTGACGTAACCATACGAGTTGGCCGACAGGATTTGACGGGCCTTTTCTTCCCATTGGCTGAAACGGAAGCCAAAGGTGGTGAACTCGTTGTTGCAACCGTTTTCGAATGTTTCGGCAATCAGCTTAGCTGGCTCCATGTTGTGTGAAGATAGAGAAGCGGTACTTGAACCGAGCGCATTTTAAATCTACGCCCCCTGTCACATGGCAAGAGCCGAATTCCCGCATCGTTCCGGGACGGACCAATGAGCCTGAATAGGTTCCTATTGGCTGATGAAGTAAACGTAGCGATGAGCGCTGCCCAATCACAATGGATTCACGTGCGAGAAACGGATCTGTCGAAAGAGACGCGAGGGCGGCGATTTCCACATGGAGCGCTATCATTGCATGCATAGATTGGCGCCCTGCCGCACAGTAGAAGGGACATAAAAACACGCACACATGCACTGCCTCTATGAA